ATACTTCAGACAAAACAACAAACCAGAAGGCAATTCTTGCACTACTTCGACGTCCATGGTTTCAGCGCATCTGGGTAAGGGAATATTGCTCGATAATGCACAAAAATGTTACTAAAAGTTGATTCAGGTACTACAGGAAGCTGCCGCAGCTCGAAATATCCTAATAAGGTGTGGTCCTGCGGAAATGGACGGATATGCGTTCTGCTTAGGTTTAGCGTCATTGGAGATCTCCTACGAAGCTGATCCCGGTCTGCAGAGCCTGATTCGTTCTGTGACTTACCTCATAAGGGAATCGATCTTTCGGCCTAAATGTGCAACGAGTAGCTCAAATAATTACTCCCTCAACATCCGCCCGCTAGGCGAACTAATGGATATGTACTACACCCATCAGGCGACTGATGGCCTTGATAGAGTGTATGCCTTACTCGCCATGAGCTCTGATAATCCTGTATCAGCTGGTTTATTACCTGACTACACAATTTTATGGGAACAGCTATTTCGGCAGCTTGTAAAGTTCCTTCTCTGCAAAGAAATATCTGTGGATATTTGCCAGACTAGGAGGATGGCAGTGATCAAAAGCAAAGGCCGTGTTTTTGGCACGGTGCTCTCGGCGAGGCTTGCTACCTGGAAGCACACGCAAATTGTGAAGATCAATCTCGTCAGCCGACATAAAAATTTACCGTACTATGAGGAATTGTACAATGAGTGGAAACTCCCAACCGCAGGGAAGAACATACAAGCTGGTGACATAATCTGTTTTCTACAAGGTGTCTCAAAGCCAATGATAATCAGACCATGCAATGATCATTTTGATGTCATTATGATTGCAGCTAATCTGAAAGTCAGGAGAGAACACATGTTTCCGTCGTGGAGCTATTCATCTCCAAGATTTTTCACAACCTTCCCGCGTGATTTCTTACTTGTCTGGGACTTGGAGGAGCCTCAGGAGAGGATTGGAGATCCAGTACAGCTACAACGACATCTAGCAGATTTTTCCTCTAACTCGCGGCAGGATTTTTCAAACTCAGAGCTCGGGGTGTATACAGACGCAAAGGAACATTCAGAGATGGGGAAGTATTCCGAGGCGGGGAAGGATCCAGAGATAAGGGGCTATTCAGAAATGGTGACTGAAAAATTGGATGAACTGATCAGATTGCAGAACGTAGCGCTGATATTACAAGACTCTAAATTGTATGAAAAGGCAGAAAAAATATTTTTGCTAGTGATACGGACAAGAAAGCACCTGCAAGGGAGAGAGCATCCACAGACACTAAGCAGTATAGCTGACCTACGGTCACTCTATAGAGATCCAGGAGTTTTGGAAGGGTCGGAAAAGCTAGAGGAAATGAAACAACTACTTCGTTAGGCGGAGAAAGCCCCTCGGATTTTAGAAGAAGAAGCTTAACTAGCTGAGATTGCATCATTATCTAATACAGGAATTATGATTTTACTCGATCAAAGAGGAGATTAGATCCCCATCACGGAAGATCTAGTCAAGGCAGCAACAAGGAATACAGAAGGTGGAATGAATACAATGAAATTGTTTTTAAGGAAAGAGGTGATCAATTCCTGATTATAGGAGGTGTAGTTAATGGATTTGATGAAGTTGTTATTTGAGGTAAAAGGGAATCAAATTCCGATTACAGAAGACGCAATTAAGGCAGCAGTAGGTAATGTGAGTCGTGGAATAGACATAATGAATCAGTTATGGGAGTAGTATACAGCGTAATTCCTGAAATCCCTACTATAATAAGGTTTTATCGCATTTTCAGATACTCATTAAAATACGTGATAGTGAATTTCATATCATCGGTGAATCTTTTTCCGAAATAGACAATATTGAAATTATATCCATTACAATTCTATAAATTTCAATGAAAGTAACTAATATTGATCAAAATTCAAAAAGAATATATCGAATTTTAGTGATTCTATATATAGACAATAGTATATATTAAGATATATATATACTATAGTATATAATATCACAATTTAAATATATTGATATGATATCAAGTGTTTCAATATCGACCACTATGATATTAATTCATACTACTTCCATCACTGTAATGAACTTGTTCTTTAAAAAAAAAGAGGGGATCAAATCCGATTACAGAAGAAGTGATAAAAGTGGTGATAGGAATGCGCGCTGTGTATAAGATATACAGAAATTTTCTCTGCAAAAGAGATTTTTCTGTGCTAAAAGTCTCACCACCCATGACTTCTCTAGCCGTATTATCACGCTTATACTGCCCACTCAATGCTGGAAAACCTTGTCCCTCAGGTGCATATATACGATATACAAACTCGCGCTGCAAATCGATGCCCAGAACGATGAAGCCGTTATCATATCGGTCGCATTTCCTAATGTAACCTTCGAGAAGGTTCGAAAATTCAAGTTCATCGAGATAATCCTCTCGCTGGTAAGAACAGAACAAGCTTTTACCAGGTTCGGATTCCACGAATTCTTGCAGTTGAATGACATATTTTGGGTATGTTTCAGATCGCGAAAGCTCTTTACGCGGAAAATCCGGCTTCATTGTCCTCAGGCTGATGAGATCGTCGCCTCGTACGTTGTGCATGGTCCAACAGAACCATTCATCGAAATACTGGAGGAGTTTGTAATAAATTTCTTCTTCCATCGTCATCCATCCGGATGTTATCGGTTCCAATATTGATTCGATGGGGGGGAGCGGAAGATTTTTGAAGTAGTTGAACCATGATTGTAGATTGTCGGCTGACAGGCTAATGATGTTGGAGCTTTGTGCCGACATTCTTGACACAGCTTTGGAAAATATTTTGGATGTGGGTTATTCGATCGATGGCTTGTAGAATTGAGGTTTGAAATCCGAAACAGTATTGTACTTTAAAGAGCTGTTGGATGGGCAAAATCGAATAGGATATTTGAAGTGGTGAACGAAGGCTGGATGATGAGGATAGGTATTTGGAATGGGTGTTGAACAGTTAAGGGTTGTTCTTGTGTGTTTCGTTTTTATGAAGTTGTGGTGTTTGTGTTGTGAAAAGGGGATCAGGAGAGGGAAAGAAGGGAATGAGATCACTTAAATATGCCATATCATAAGTCTGTATGATTCTAGGTATTAATCCAGACTCATATCAGGCATGGATGTGGGCAGACTTATTCACTTGACTCAATACTAGCGTTGGCCGAATCCAAGAACACTAGTCTCTACGAAAAACCTGGAGCCATATTGTTTGCGGCGCAACTGGTCCTCTTCATCACTTGAATGGCATGATGCTGTAGAGCAGGGTCTGAAATAAGGAAAGAGGAAAGAATTGAGTAAGAGGGATGGAGATAAATGCGACTGGTTGAGTGATTCATGGATTTGATTAATCATGTATGAATAATTTTCAAAAGAGAAAATCAGATTTGGAGCTTCAAGAGAGTGAATACCCAGAATCGTGTAAGATATCTTTTCTGTCGTCCATATGGCCTTTTTTTGTCGTCGACCCTATCAATGACAAAATCATTCCATATGAATCACTCGCCAATCCCTCCCTCATTTCTATAACATTATGGTTCCCATGAAAACCATGAAAACCGAATTCATAGTTTATATTCTCATGCCACTATGAATACACACCTCCGTCTGTGACTCCTCCGACTCATGCCTAGTGACGCAATGACCCGAACCGTAAGACTGACAGTCACAACCAAGCCGTTTCATTCCCTTTACCAACACGCTCCAATACCTGAGCTGATAGAGATCGAGCAACGGCTCGTCAATATCAATATGATGACGTGCCCAGCATTCGTGTTCGCGAATAGGGAGTAGATCTGTGGAACGGAGCAGATATTAGCATTTCAAAGATCGAAGTAGGGAACATAGAGACTTACAACCACGATTCCATTTGCATTTATTTCCCTTGTTATCAGTGACATCGAAATTCCGAGCCCAAATTTCACACTTGGTAAAAGGTACTAAAACATCAGCCGCTTGAGGATTTCTGTTCAACATCGTCCTCAACTAAACCAGCCACGGAATCTTTATCACGATGATACAAGTCGATTCCTTTGAGGTGGTCATAAAGATATCGCGAACTATTCTATCAATCTCTTCAAAATCCCTGCATAATCCTTTCATGAAAATCTTGAGGATTTCGTCAGAGGAAAGGTCGATAACTTTGTCGGTGGCAAACGATTTAAGAATTGGTGCTAAAGAAGGAATGTTTGAGACACTGAGGTTCGAGCTCACTGTGTCAGTATAATTAGTTGTTTGCAATAAAATTATGTAGAAGGAAATCGCAGCGAGAGCTTTCTCACTAGGTAAATTATGGATGGCGAGTTTTGAATTACGTAGTTTAAAATTATGAAAAAAGTCCATTCAAGTATCGAAAATTGACAGATTAGGATATTGGCAAAGCTATATAGCCATTACCATAAAGCAAGAGCTCTCAGACAAGGGGGTTGGGTAGTCATCTGTAAAACCGACCAGTCAACGAAGAAATCTTCTGGAAACATTGCACATGTGTTCCGGGCCATTGCGCAAATTTGACATTCCGAAATCAATTTAGCTCATTCCGAAATGCCCTGGTTCTTCAAATGAGCTAATTGATACCGAAGATGGTAAAAATGAAGAATGAAGACATTCACAAATAAACTAAGTTTATACAAAAATTGTTGAACAAAATCAGTTCACATGATCCGGCACTAGGCTGTATTAGGAATGCAGTAATAGCTTCTTATAAGTTATTACTGTTCTCATCAACTTTTATTTCTTTAGTCAAATCAATATAATGTTTTTCAGTTTTAGTTTTTCAAAATAATAATAGAATATTATATAATTATATATAATAAATACTAAAATGAATATTTAAATTATATATCTAAAAGAAATAAACTAAATAAATCAACTCGAGTATAATTTTAACAAGGTATTCACGAGTCCGTGCACCCACAAGCGACCACCAAAAGCCAATTTTAAAGCCGCAAACATCGGTAAATTATATACCTTCAACTCTGAATATAAGATATCGAAAACGGGCTTGTGGTTTAGTGGTATAATGTTCCCTTAGCAATTACATATATGGGAGAGGTCCGGTGTTCAATTCACCGCTAGTCCAAATACGTCTGTTAATCAGACAACTAATTTTTGTAAAATTTTGTAAGGAATTCTTTTGTAGAAATTTTTCAGAGGATTTTTTTGATGGATTTTTAAGGGGGGGCTTGAGGATAGATAATATAGGGTTATTTTTCGATAAGATATATAAGCGAATTTTTGTTTTAGAAAGTGATTTTTGAGATTTAGTATTAGATGATATTTATCTATTATTTATTCTTTTGATTTGATTTTCGTTCCTACTGTCTTTTTTATTATTGAGAATTTGTTCTATACTGTAGTATGAAGTGAGATGGGATTATTTCTAATAGAGAGAATTTCCATCTAGGATTAATATTTATATATAATATCGAGAAGCGAGATTGATTAGGGGTTTTCGTTTTGATATTTAGTTTTAGTTCTAGAAAGTTTTAGACTTACTATTAATTTATAAAATATCAAATTATAAACACGTACAGATGAGCATTTGAAACAATTGATAGATGTTAAAGTTGAGATCTATATTTGTTAGCTCCTTTTTATTCAAATTGATCAGAAAACACAAGCGCCCATTCAAAGAAAGCAGCCCTATGTACCGCTTGTATTCTACAAAATTATTTACAAATCGTACGTCAAACTTAATTTAATTTAATCCATTCAAAACTTCCTCATTAATACCACCGACAACCCCCTTATCTTGTATCTCCATCTTCTCCTTTGCAGCATCACCCCCAACTACTGTATATTTTGCAGGGACGATGTTCTTGAGGGGAGGTAAGAGACTTCTAGATGTTTGACGAGCTTGTTGTGCCATTAATGCATCAATGACTGTAAGAGCCGCCATGGCTTCTACGATAGGTACTGCTCTGGGAACAACGCATGGATCATGACGACCCTTCGCTTCTAAGATACCGGCACCAGTACCGTCGTAAGTAGCGGTTTCTTGGGGTTGGCCAATGGTGGCAGCGGGTTTAAATGCTACACGGAAGTAAATTGGAGCACCATTTGTGATTCCTCCTTGAATACCAGCAGAGTTATTTGTCTTGGTTGTTAATCTAGGACGAGGGATTCCGTTCTTTGATGCTCCGGTTTCGAGAGGTGGGACTTCGGTAGCGAGGATGAATGCATCATTATGTTTGGATCCTGGGACTTCACAACCACCAAAACCGGATCCGATTTCAAAACCCTTGGAGGCAGGAATACTGAGCATGGCATGAGCGAGCATTGCTTCCATTTTATCGAAACAAGGTTCGCCGAGGCCGGATGGAACATTGCGAATTACGCAAGTAACGGTTCCTCCAATGCTATCTTGTTTATCTCTATATTCTGCGATAACTTCGGCCATTTTCTCAGATGCTTTGGTATCAGGGCAGCGGACCGGGACAAATTCATCAACACGCTCTCGTGTTATGTCTTGAATGAGCGAGAGAAAAGCGGGGTTTGTGGAAGGACTTGGGTGTTCGGCGGTGGGTGGGAACATATGGGTACTGCCAACGGAGGAGACAAATGCGACAATTTCGATCCCATGTGCGAGTTTAAGATATTTTTCAGCAATTGCACTTGCTGCTACTCTACCAATTGTTTCTCTTGCGCTACTTCTTCCACCACCACTGCTTGCCTTGACACCGTACTTCTCCAGGTATGTCCAATCTGCGTGAGAAGGGCGAGGGTAGAGATCCATTGTTTTGTTTCCATAGTCGTGTGGTCGCTGATCTTGATTACGAACAATCATGCCTATTGGTGTACCAAGGGTAACTCCAAATTCTGTGCCAGATTGAATCTCGACTTTATCTTTTTCATCGCGGGGAGTGGTAAGGGCAGATTGACCTGGACGACGACGAGTCATTTGAGGTTGAATGTCTGCTTCTGTAAGCTCCATTCCTGGTGGAACTCCATCGACTATACATCCTACAGAGCGACAATGTGACTCTCCGTAGCTGTGAAGAGGAAGAGAAGTTAGTATCCTATATTGATCTTGGGATGGAGGGGTAACTTTGTTATGGAACTTGGGGTAATGATGAATCGATTAACTGAATTGAATGTGTACGTACGTAGTAACTTTGAAATATTGACCAAATGTAGACATCTTGAAGAGAAGGAGGTATTCAAAGATATGAAATATGAATATGAATATGAGAGATTCAAAGCAAAGAAGGTTATCAACAGCTGTTTACTCCGTATATGTAACTTTTTTTCAAAAAGTCGAATTGAAATGAATGACTCTTTCCGAGCTCGGACCCGATTCGTCGGACGATGTGGGATGATTACGTGAGATTGGAAGGCCCTTGTAGTTGTCCGAAGAGTACCCTGTAAACACTAAGAAATATAGAATTATTTTAAGTATCTCCGAATTTTGTATGAGAGAAACGATCAATTCAACATCCGAAGTATATGATTATATGAGGATATTTCCAAATGTACCAAAAATCAATGGCACCTTCGAGGGGCATAAGGTTAATGCGCCAATTTACCCAACGTGGCACAATATCACAAGGTTTCTTTGTTCGAAGAAATGTTTCCACTTCCAGCAGTGTATCCATATCGAGGTTTGTCCAAGAGGCTACCAATCCAATCAACAAATCTCAAATATACATATCACGAACGAATGACCCATTTATCAACTTATCCATTGAACATTATCTTCTGCAGAATACTCCCGCAGATTCTACTGTCTTATTTCTCTATACCAACGAACGCAGCATAGTGATTGGACGAAATCAGAACCCTTGGAATGAAGTAAATCTCAGCCTACTCAAAAAGTCAACAATTGGAAATATATCATTGGTTCGACGACGTTCAGGTGGAGGAACTGTCTTTCACGACACAGGAAATGTCAATTACTGTGTCATATGTCCTACGTCGCATTTCGATCGCGATAAGCATGCCGAAATGGTAGTGAGAGCTTTACATAAACTTGGTGTTGAGCAGGCTATGGTTAATGCTCGACATGATATAGTATTGAAGCCACGCAAATCGGGTGACGGAGGATTCAGAATATTCAAAGTATCAGGTTCGGCATATAAGTTAACGAAGGAGAGAGCTCTTCACCATGGAACCTGTTTATTAACATCTCCGAATATTGGATCCATTTTCAAACTTCTGAGGTCCCCTGCGATGAGATTCCTCACGGCTCGTGGTGTGGAAAGTGTTAGCTCTTCGGTGGCAAATGTTAATGTCAAAAATAAGGCATTTGAGAATGCAGTGGTAAAGGAGTTTGGTGAAATGTATGGTCTTTATGAACCCATTATTTTGCGCGAGGATGTCAAAGTAATCCCTGAGATTGCCAAGGGTCTTGAAGAGCTTACTGTGAGCAATTGGTGATTCTTTCGAAGACTTGAGCTAACATTTTGGAAAACAGTCCTTAGATTGGATATTCTCACAAACTCCTCAATTCACATTTTCATCAGATCAATCCATTAAAGATGCAGATAAGAAACATCCTCTCCCGAAAGATTTGCCACCGAATGTGAGTTAGCCACGGGAAACTGAAACATGGTCAACGTTACTGATGTGGAGATACAGTTCAAAGCAAATTTTACAGCACGAAATGGAGCTATCATCGAGGCAGATGTCCAATATCAGGATAAGGGCGAAATGGTCCAAATCGGGGAGAAATTGGTGAACAGAAAGATACATGAAATCGAGTGGAATCAGTTCCCTGAAGGTATTGCTGAGGGACCCCTAAAGTGGTTCAGTAGATTGTTTTCTCACAAGTTCGAAGATTGGAGAAAGGAACGGAGAAGGAATGTTTGACATTTCCTAGTACAATGCTGACTTTCGACTGATGTTCGGACTTTGATCTTTCCATACTTAACATTGGACAATTGATCCATGGACAGCGTTTCTTTTGCATGTTCATATACCAGATACCCAATGACAAGTGTCTCTTTCATCATTATCCGCATTGATACTCCAACGATGATTTGAAACAACAAATAACTCACAACTTGAGGTATATCAAAGCGTCAGCTAATTGATTCGCGTAATTTCATCGACGTTTCTTATATTGAAAAACCCCACAATACTGCAAGGTACACTGGAAGGAGATTAATGGCCAGTGGTATTACAAATTTCCCAAATAAACTATCGGAAAAACTTTGTAGTGCATACAAGCCTACAAGATTGTCCGAAAGTTTAAAAGGCTCGATAATCTGTCCGTTCTCATCCCAGTTACAAAATCGAGGTTTCGTCAGCGAAACAGAATGATTCTTTCATTCCTAAGCATGAATTGTTACAATCAATGGGCTCGAGGACTTTAAAATCATCACAACCAATCCAATTCTCCATCTGTTCTCAAAACAAGCCATCTATTCATGGTTGCTTGGCATCCGAAACATGAATTGGATTCACATAGGTAGAATAATTGATTTCATACGATGTACTAAGTATCATAAGTATCAAGCCTTCATATAAGTATCGAAAGTCTCTCTTGAATATTTTTTTCTTACTCTTCCTATTCATAATATCTTCTTTAACTCCTTCATACTTTTTAACTTCCCGGCAGGTCCGCTCAATATTACATTGTATTTCATTTTAGACCGGTTCTATTTTTTTTATTTTTTTTTGCAATCATGCAATATTCAACCCTTCTTGTCACCATCCTTCTTTCTACTGCTGTGGCAGCTAAGGGTAATAATGGTACCCTGACTGAGGAACAAACTTGCAAAGAAATGCTTGGTTTGAACTCATTGGTTAAATTCGCCAACGACCCAGCTAAAGTTGAGGCCATCACCGGAAGTATGTTATCCTTCCCTAGTCTAATGCAACAAGTCTTTACGCCCTCATATGTCCGAACTACTAACTGACCTACTTCGAAGATGACACAACAAAAGTTGCGGCCTTCCAAGCTAAAGCCTCTGCTGCCTCCGTCAAACTCACAGAGCTTCAATCCAACACCACCCTCATGACCAACTGTGCCGTAATCGACGCAGCAATCATGACCAACTCCTCCTGCACCCAACAATTCCTCCTCCAAAAATTCGTCGATTTCGCCGCCAACGACACACTAGTCACAGCCACCGTCAA